TAATAACAATCCAGATCATAGCAATCATGGCTGAAAAAAGCAGCGTTTGAAATTTGACAGACATTATGTAGAGAGTATGTTTGTGCAAATGCCACTTGTATAATGATAAATGGCATGAAAATAAATATTAACATTGCTCTACTTTTTCAGCAGCATCAAGGTAGTATGCAACTTGAAAAAACTTTCCCAAATCTCAAGCGAAAACTGTTTAACAGAGACCAGATGAGACTCCGTATTTTTTTTAGATTAAATTTATGGCCATTAGTGCTGCTTGTGTGGAGTAAGGGTAGGCATAATAAGCTTTAGCTTCAGCTTACACCTTTGGTCAATAACATGGTTTTTTATTTATTTCATTTTATTTTGTATGATTATTTATGTGTGCATACATGCTTTTATTCAAATGGATGTATGTACCCTTATGTTTCATGCTTTTTTGTGTAAAATAATTGCAATTCTAATTTTGCTTGTTGACCAAAACCTAATAAATGAAATGAAAATGAGATGAAATAAAAACTGAAGAATGTGTTAGAAAAAAAGGGGAAAAAATCATTTCCATTAACATTAAATGTCAGCAAAATGGCTTTCCCTGGGTGCAGCCAATCGATCATGGAACCTTAATGGGGGGTGATTACACCAGGTAAACTGGCTACATTGTGAGTTAGAGAGAGAGAGATGTGTGTGAGCTGTATTGTGGCAAAAAAGAGCCAAAGAGGAAAGGAAATCAATGAGTGGTCAGATAGTCTAGGTATATTGTTGTAAGTCAGAATTACCAATGTCTCCCCACCTAACTCCTGGCCAAATATATATATACCTATATATATTTATCAAAATGTCACACTATCCTTTGAATGACCTTTTCATATTTTCTTTGGCATTCAGAGTTTTGTAGTGCAAAACACAAGTCCTCATTACTAAAAAGATCATTACCTGTGGCCTGATAATCTGGAAACCTGGTAAACAATTCTGAGATGAAGAAAGACAGAAAGGTAGAGAAGAACCATTTTACTTTAAGAGTGACTAAGACATAAGAGGTTGAGTCTTCTTTTTTCTGTTCTAAAATCTGAGGCCTCCAGTTTTCAACCAAACTGACTTCAAACACTGCAAGTAACAATGTACGTTTGAACTATTAAAATGAATATTTTCAGGACAAGCCACCAGATTGGATTCAAGTTACGTGCGCTCTGTGACTGTGTTCCCCCAAATTACAGAAAAACTGGAAAAAACCCCAGGACGTGTTTTTAACTAAACACAGGAGATTTAGAGAAAAAGTAGGGAGATACATGAAAAAGAGGTAAGCAAAAGTCAGAAGGCCCTTCCGGACCAGTTATATGTGAAGGACAATGAATGAAACAAAAGAAGACCAGCAGAGGGACAAATTAAAAGAAATCAAATAAAAGGTGGCAGTTTGGTCCCTGATAAAGGTGAAAAAACATAAAAAGGATGAGATGAAATTAGATTCACTGGAAGTACCATGAAGTACCATCACATAAATAGACAAAAATAAAATAGATACTTTAAAGCATATGGACATTAGGATAACTGGATAACATACACATGTGTTTGTTCTATTTACTGTCAAAGTTATCTAGAAGGACCATGATGGGTCTACAGCAAATTGCATTTAAATCCTATATCAGAGAATTTTTGTTTTACAATGTAGAGTATATTAATTACACATGAGAGATTTTGATCTTATTCAGAAGGACTTGCGATGGCTGCTGTAGTGGCATACCTCTGCTTTCTCACTTACTGAAGGCTTCATGTTGGATTATTTATGGTAATGTCTAGAGAAAATGAGTTTGCTATCAGCGTTACACGTTTAACGGGGTAGCTGTTAACTATCATTTGCAAGGAGCCACTTGTTAAAGATGGCATAAATAACCTTATTAGCCTGGTGGACATTTAGAACCTACTCTAAAGAATTGAATTTGCATTAAAAGTTCAATATAACAACTATAAGGAGAATCAGTCTTTCTCAGAAACTGTGAGCCACCTTACCATTTATAAATGCTATTATAATAGCCCCAGCAAAGAATGTCCTATTCTTTCAACAATTTGCTTTGTATGTTTCAAAATCAATAAATGGAGTTTAACGACTTTAAGGCAAATTTGTGAGAAAAACACTATAGAAATAATAGAAGGTTGATGTGGAATCATACATTCCTTGGCTTTGCTAACAAATCTTTTCAGGAAACATCGAATCAATGAAGGAAGTAAGGGAGTGTGCTTTTCCGTTAGCTGTACAGCTGTCACATCTTCAGTAGCAGTGCTGCTAATTTAATTCAGGTATTAGAGGAAGGGAAAATATCACAGGCCAGAGAAGACACAAAGACATGTTTAACCATCCATCCATTATCTATACTGCGTATTCCTGAATAGGCTCACAGGAGGGCTGGAGCCAATCCCAGCTGACATTGGGCAAGAGGCGGGGTCCACCCTGGGCAGGTCACTAGTCTATCACAGGGCTGACATTTAAAGATAGACAACCACACATATCCACACTCACTCCTACGGGCAATTTAGAGTCACCACTCAGCCTAAGCTGGATGTCTTTGGACTGTGGGAGGAAGCTGGAGTACCTGGAGAGAACCCACGCAGGCACAGGGAGAACATGCAAGCCAAGATATGTTTATGAAAATGTTAAATCATGAGAAATGAATTTTTTCTATATCTCTGTCACAAACACACAGTCACTCCTTTTGCCCTCTCTGTTGTGTACACCTCTGTTTACTAAACCATCCGTTATTTATTCTATTCTAGCACCACCTATTGATGCTACTGTAGCTGTTCACTGTATAAAGTACAGTACTGTTTACTAGAGATATGCAGCAGCATCTCATTGTTAATAAATAAAAAATAAACAAGCTGAAATTAAGGCTTTTATTTCATCAGTGTCCTGTGCATCCCTTTTCAATAAGTTCAGTCACAGATCACATGCAAATGTTGAATGTTTCTATTACTTAAAAACTGCTCATTTAGTCACCTGCACTTGGTAAACAGTTTATTTGGGCAGAGATAATGACAACAGGTGACTGTAAAATATAATTTTACAACAACAGCTTTATGGAAAATCATGAATAAGAACACTTGCCTAAGAGGTTCATATCAGAGAGCTGAAACATGGACAAAGTTGTACAGAACAGCTGCAGCTGCGCGGCACATATTGTAACACCTCAATGTAATCACATCCTTTGACCAGTCCAAATTGATCAATTTCTTCAACTAAGTCAACTTCAGTGTCTGTTGCTACTCTGTCATCTTACACAGACCCAGCTGTGTTCTACTGAGTCTCTGGTAGCATGAAATGAAGAAGTCAAGCCTGACCCCTAGCTCTGACAACACAGTCTATTTATTATATAATGAAAAATGTTAAACCACACTCTTGGATCTGCCAGTGCATGATGCAGGGCTTGCTTGCATGGGGACTCTAAACCTTAATACGTGACATATCAGCATTAGTTTAAATTATGCAGTTAATGAAAAAAATTGGTCTGGCAAAGGACAAAGGAGAGAGAAGCTGTGCATGCAAGTACGTATATGCACCACAGCCATGTATTTGCATTTGGTTTAGTGTGAAAACTGGCCTAAGCAGGACAGAATTACAGGACAGTATTTTAAAATCTGAAGTAATATGCCAAAGCACAAAGAAACAACATAACCATACATCTCCCTATTCATCCACAACTTTCATTTGGACATAAAGCTGTAAAAAGCTGTTCACCAGACAATTGGAGACCACTGAAATCAAACACACAGTGACAAATTTTATGAATTCGAGGCACAGTGCCCATGTAAAAGCCTGTCATTTTTTGTGTTTTCAAGCAGACCTTTCTCTCTTTCTCTCGCTTCTGTCTCCAATATCAGTGAGCTGCTTCCTTGCTCTGCTCAGCTGTCTGTCTGGTCAGAGTCAGAGCAGGCAGACAGGGTGTGTGATGTTGAATGAAATTCTCTCTGAGACTCAGAAAGCAGCCAGATACATTGCCAATCCAGCCGAATTTCCTGCAGGGTGCTGTACATATCCCAGCCTGCCCATCTGCACATATCTCTTCATTGCTGTCTTTCTCATTTGCGCTCTTTCTGTCTCTCTTTGGCCTGACTGTGTGTGTGTGTGTGTGTTACGATCCTTGTCTTTCTCTGTATTGCACAGTATGTGTATATCAGTGTTCTGTATATGTGGAGAGGCTCTCGTTCCTTATAGTCATATCAGCACACTGAAGCTATTTCACCCACCACTGCCTCTAATAAAACTCCAGATGCCACAAGCCATTACGTTAAACTTGGTTACATAAACACGAAGGAATCCCCAAAAGAAGAATCCCAGTTTGGCAGCTAGCATCTTCAAGTCAGGCACTTCTGCTCTGTTTATGTCAGTGGTGACTGAAATGAGGCAGACAGCATTCAGTGACGAGTTTGGCTTGTCTCCTACATGGGCCTGCTGGTCCATGTAGGAATTCTTATTTTCCCCCTTCCATGAATTAGCTAATATGATTGATATGAGGGTGAATGTGCATGAGGGAGGTTTAAAGCTGAGTGAAAAATTCTCATGAACAGAATTTAGCTTATGAAAACAGAACCCATACAAAGTCAACAGTCCTTTCCAAGAGCACAGCAAACCCCCCCCCCACCCCCAAAACACATATAATCCATGCACTCATTACAATAGAACATCATAGAGAGGAGTACATCATGTTGTGCAGCACATCATACATGTACAGCACAACATGTATCAGAGTCACATTCTGCATTTTCTGAAAAATTTCCTTTGACTAAAACAGTCCTTATCTAGGGTGGTGTTTAGATTTAAATACCCTTTCTGCACCGTAAAGTATAATATATTAGCCTAACAATGAATTTACATAACGAACACAGAATCTGAAAATCCAGCTCTTATTGCGTCAGTAGTCACTGTCAACACATATTAACCTCTAAGCAGACTAAATATCATACCTTATTCCAGCTGTAATTTAAACCCAGAATAAACACTTCAGTCAGATACTTACTTCAGTAGATTTTAGAAACTGCTGCCTCAGTGAAACAAACAGATGCTGTCGGTCAGAGAAATCCTGGTGCTGTCCTTCCTTGTAGGTGACTCCAGGCGTCTGCGCTCCTATTTAAACTTTTTTGTCTCCTCCACATATATAATACTGGCATTAAAACAATCTGTCAGATGGTATCACTGCTTGGCTTCGCCCAGGTGTCTAGCTTTCTGTGCGGTTCATTCATGAGCGGTGCGCGCGGTAGAGGAGCGCAGGGCAGTGCGCCGGTCTGTGGCCGTTGCGAGCGGTGACAGTTGACTGCCCGCTAATACAAGTGCGTCTGACAGCCTCCCGTTTACGCGGACGAGGGTGTGGTGGTGGAGCTCCTCCTCACCATATACCCATTTCTGTGTGTTTAAAGACGTAGGCAGCAAGAGAACGCAGCTCCCACACAGCGTGTGTGCGCTCGGTTTGGACCCTCCTCTGGACACCGGGGTTAAAACAAACACCATTATTATACACAGTCTGTCTGTGGCTGTCAACAGTGACTTACAATGATCTGGTTCACCTTATGATCTACAGGAGCGTTTTTCTTATCAGCTAATATTCATGTATAGGTTACCACATGGATTTTTTTATAAATTCCTTATCACTAAAAGATTTTATGGCAAATCCCAATTGGTTATTGACCTGATCATCACAGGCTTAATGAAACACTATAGAGTCAAACTGTTGCAGGTGACTGATGCTGTCACGTCACGTTTCCCTACTCTATACATAACTTTTAAGACCCCATTAAGACATGATTCAAGACATAGAAAAGCTGCTTGGACCTATTATTATGTGTCTGACATTTTTATTTCCACTAAAACACTCCATTACCTCATTAAAATTCTGAAAATTATATGACTCCTTTTCTGTCAGTAGCCTATACAGTAAAATTCAAAATCTACACATTTTTTATTTTAAAATATTTGCTGGACACAAGATGTATACTGATTGACTGTAGAGTCTGTTAGGTCATGTAGGTTTCAAATTGTCCACGTCACACTTTTGTAAGTTGCATACTGGACCGTGACTGGCTTGCAGTTGTGATGTCACAAAATCATGCTTATACATGGGTTTAAGATTTACAGTAATGTGAGCACAAAGAAACTCTCAGCTGATGAATGTGAACGCAGCCTTAGTGTCAAACTGTAGCCTACATATTGAACAACGAAGAGTAAGTAACCAGTGGAGTAACAATAAGCAAAAAGCATTTCTGACAGGAGGATTATAAAGCTGATCTCCTCACCAATCCCAAACAAGATGTTGGATATCTACATATATAACACCTTCTTTTATCAAGTGACTCTCTGGGCTTTTTAGTGGCATTATATAAAAGGCACAAACAGTTTTTTTTTGACAAAACTGCAGTAGATTTCTACTGGATAATTGAATTGTTTGCAGGGCTTGTTCAATATCTTATTATCTTCAGTTTTTCATGTAGACTTGAGATTGGGCAGCTCATTGAATCTTGAAATTGGGATGTTATTATTGATCTGTTTATTTAAGAAGGACTGTTTTGTGAGACGATTTGTAAAGCAATCACTATAGGCATGGTAATTTAATGTCTGGCAGCCAAAAAAAAAACTATGTGGAGCATGTGGACATGTTCAATGGTTGCATTTTTATAACACATTAGACCAAACAAGAAAGAACATTCATTCAAGAGAAGGAGAGGAGTGGACAAACACAATCTACTCAGGAATGTCAGTGCCAGCACTGAAAATAAGATTGCCCTTGTCAGCTAGCTGCACTTGACTTGCATATCTGCACACAGATAACTGGGTTAACGCCAAATCATGTTATATAATTAACAATACAACTTACAACTGTCCGAGGAAGAAAAAAGATAGATTTGGATCTTTTTTCAACTAGCCTTTTTTTTTTTTTTTTTTTTTTAAAAAACCAATTTTCATCTTACAAGCTCAGAAGACAACGTTTGTGCCTCATTGGAAAGTAAAACCATCAAGACTGTCTGCTCAGAGAATAGGGGATGTAATGCATCTGTGACTGACACTGGTGGGTTCACTGAGTGCTGTATAAGACATTCATAAATGTCTGAATTTAATGTAGACTTCCAGCTGTGACTCAGGAAATGTGCAAATACCCCAGTGAAATCACCATGGTTGCCATCAAGATTTCTTAATTTTCAATGGAGCAGTGCCAGCTTTTGTTTCTAGATGACAGATTGAGTTGCACAGTGGTGAAAGTTTGAAAATGAAAGCTGCTATAGTCTATAGTAATATTTTTTATCAAAAGACTATGCACACTTGAAGGTGGTTATCATACTGATATATGCACAGATCATTTTAACTCAGCTCTGGAGCACTACTGTTCTGAAAAGTAGTCACTGACCATATTAATATGCCCAGTGTTTGTTTGCTTGTTGTAATGGGTAGGCCATGGAAAAGTAGCCCGCCTCCAGCATGCCAATAGTAAATAGGTAGTGGAGGTGGGGCTACTTTTCCGTGGCCCACCCTGTATCTTGTTGCTTTTTGTTTCTTTTCTTTCTCTTCTATCCTCTCACCCCAGTCGATCGAGGCAGAAGGCTGCCCACCAAGAACCAAAGTCTATCGGAGGTTTCTTCTGTTAAAGGGAGTTTTTTCCTCTCCACCATCACCAGGTGCTTGCTGAAGGGGGATTTGTTGGTTTTCTCTATGATACTGTAAGGTCAAGTCCTTAACAACTGTATTAAACATATATATAGTTAAAATGCAAAAGCAATTACATTTTGTAATAAACTCTCTGGCTGGATTATGTTCACATCAGAGGTGATGTGTTTTTGAATGAATGAAGCACTAACAGCAGAAGATTAGCTTGGAGTCAGCTGGGGTGGATGGCGGTTGTGCAAACTGCACATTCCCATAATTTATTAGTGTATAAACTACACACCTTTAAGTTGTAGCAGTGTAACATCAGGGTGTCGTCACACTGTCATACTAAGTTTTTTCTGCTGTGACAAAGCAAACTGTCAGCTGCAAAAAATGAGCAGTTTGTCAATAGTGGTCGACTATTTTTAAAAAGCCAGAGATCCAAATAAACTAGATATGTAATTGTCATAATGCTGTTCTGCAGTGTATAGTCAGTGTCTGTTCATATGCTTTGTGACAGCTGTTTAGCTGTGCAGTGATGCAAAATACAGATAGTTCACCTTCTGTTTGCATACAGCCTGTTTATTCATAAATATTTCAACATTCCTAGCCCTGGCACGAAGTGCATGTGGCAGGATGTTATATATATCCTTGAACCTTGAACCTATATAATATATTTTAAACAGCATATTCAATTGAGCCAGTGTGCTGAGTCTGCTGAGGACTGCTGAACAGCAGCTCAATATAAAGTCTTTAACCTCTGAGGAGCTGGTAATTGAAGCATGCATACGAAGGAGAGGACAAAGAAGCTTCAGCTCAGATTGAATTCTTTATTTTTATTCATTTTATTTGAGCACATTTCAACTGTGCCAGAAGAAAATATTCATCACGTGGCTTATGGAAAAACAGACATCTGTATTTGTTTGTTCTGCTCAAATCATTTTTAATCTTCCCAACCTTGATGAAAAGGCATTTTGGCACATTTGAGGGAGGGTAAAAGCAGCAGCTTTATTTACAACTATGAGTCATCTGCTGCAAAAGAGATGTAACTTTTTAACAACAAAAGAACAGTAGGATTGTTAAAGTAAAAGCTGAGGACTGTGGACAGTGGATAGACGTTTGTTAATATTTTGTCAAAACACTCAACACAACAACAAAACACTTAACTAAACGGGTCTACCATAGAATCTGCAAAAATGAGCATTCACTTCAAAAATCAATGGAGCCAAGGTAGGGTGAAATTACACGCGGCGCATGCGTACGTACGCAAGTACGTAGTAACAAAGAACACTTAGTCTTAAAAAAAGTTACATAAAGGCAACAAAGCATTAGAACCGATACACACAAGGATTATAAAAGTAGCATCATCAGAACGTTACATTTTACACAGCACAAAGAAGCAAATCACCTAAAAACAGGGCAGAGCAGCACTGGAGAGAATCAGGAACAGCAGTAGAGACTAAACAACCAGGAAATTAAGAACAATCAAATATTACTCACACAACTGAGCCCACAATGGGGGAGAGAAACCTGTGATTCAGCCATAAAGATCTCTGAGCAACTACTCAAAAATACCTAAAGCAGGGCAATGTACAGTATTTGAGGAAGATAATGAACAAGATATTACACATGAGCCTATTTACAATGCATTTCACACCCAGGAGCTGAAGTATTGCACCTCAGTAGATTATTGCATAGTCCCTCATAATTTCACCTAGTTTATCACTGCAGTGATGTGTTGTACAGTGATTGCTGTGGGGAGGAACGACCTACGGTAATGCTCCTTCTTACACTGGGGATGTAGCAGTCTTGTGCTGAAAGAACTGTTCAGAGCCACCACTGTGTGGTACAGGGGATGGGAGGGGTTATGCATGATGGATGTTAGTTCTACCAGCCTCCTTCTGTCCGCCACCTCCTCGATGGAATCCAGGGGGCAGCCCAGGACAGAACCAGCTCTTAACCAGTTTGTTGAGTCTCTTTCTGTCCCTGACCGTGCTACCTCCTGCTCAACCCACAACAGCGTAAAAAACTGCAGATGCCACCACAGAATCATAAAATGTCTGAAGGAGTGCATACCAAAGGACCTCAGTCTCCTCAACAAGTGAAGGCGGCTCTGGCCCTTCCTGTACAGGGCATCTGTGTTGTTGGTCCAATCCAGCTTATTGTTGAGGTGGACACCCAGGTATTTAAAGGTGTCCACAATTTCAATGTATCTGTTGTCTTGTCTCCCATGTTCACTGTTTTGTTAATATATTTTGTTTCAATACAAAAAAACAAAAACAAAAAAACAAACAACCATAGATTTGCTACTACAGTATCCAATAGCAACCATGACATCAGAGTTCTAGAATGCACATTAAAGGACTAAACTGCTGGCATCACAACATCACAGACTGGCATTCAGAACCACACAACCACAGATAGAGAGAAGTTGCATTTTGATTTTGAGGTGTCATCAAACTTGAGAAGTCAAGAATTTCAGTTTTTTTACTGTATAACATTTGCACGTTATATTTCACTATGGGGTGTACACAGAGCTCTAAGAAACAAACGCAGAAGTGGCACAAAAAAACTAAGGTTCAACAGAGGAAAACCCTGGAACCTTCATCACCTTTCTGTGTTCGAGCCAAGGAAGGCAAACTAGGGCGTCTTCGGTGGAAAGAAGAGAAAGCCTGCATTCTGGCAGAGCTGAACAAATACAAAAAGCTGTGT